ACTTAATAATAATTCTTTGATTTCCACCAATAGAATGATAAGTCTAATAATTTCCATCTGGAAGTGCAATAGCTTCATTAATTACTTTTCTAAAAGTACCAGTCCCCTATTCTCCAAATCCACCCATTTTAGGTTCAAAAGTTGTGTTAAGATTTATGAATATGAAAAAAACGAATTAATATCAACCACAAAAAGATACAATCCATCTTAAGATTTCTAACCTAAGGTTTTGAAGAAACCTGCCAAAGGTTTTAACTCATTTCTTTTTTTCAAAAGGTAATGGAACACACCTAGTTGCATGTATTGTCTGAATCAGCCAATGAGTTACAAGTTAAGAAACAATGGGTTTTTCGTCTATCAAAAAAGAAAAGAAAGAGTTAATTTGGATTTCAATAATCTCCTCCACATAACATTGAAAAATTGACTAAGGTCATGTGTTGAAAAGGGTCTTCACCAAAAATTGTGGAAAGTTTTCACCTGAATACAATATAGACTATATTGATTATCTGAATCATTTAATTAAGTCCTCTTCTATTACTGCAAATAACAGGGTAGAAATAAAAAAATAATAAAAAACAATTTCTTGTACTTTACATTATGAGTGTATTAACAGCTTTATAGTTAGCGTCATATATACAGCCTCACTAAAGACATGGGTAAATCTACAAAGTAAACAGATCAGACTCGTGTGCTTCTAAAAGCAGAACTAAACATTCTTGCAGCTGTCTACAACACTTCTGTTGCAACCACTTACAGTCTGTACATGAAAAAGAAATGTTAGCTTAATTTTTGTCTCTTAGTGTTTCTCTCCTTATGTTCATAAAAATAATTATTATAAGAAAAATGTACAGTATTTTAGAGACAAAAACTTAAGTAAATACAGCTTACAGCTTGAATACTTTTTGTATACACTAATATCACTTGTACCCATTATAAATATATCCAGAGATAGCACAACAAAGCTATATAATAATCTGTGGTCTGTACCAGTGGGCTTTGCTCTACAAGTAGCATTGAGCTCTTTACAGTTTAGAAGAAAGATAATACTAAAGAGAAGAACCAGATCTTGTTTAAAATCAACATTCAGTCAATAAATCTCAACAGAAGCCAACAACAAAACATTCAACACTTCTGAATCATTTCCCTTGTATGTTTTTTTTTAAAGCTTTTGACTGCTCCAACTGCAAAAATCTTCACAATCAAATCTACTTAACAGTGCAGTTGCCAACATACTACAATCCCCTGCTAGTCATCTATCCACACCATTTTCAATATGCACTATAAAACAAAGTAATATAAGTTCTTTTTTCAATTTTTACATATATAAAAACATCCCTTAAACGGGAAAATTTGTACCATGGGGAAATATTTGCGCTCCAAACAGTATTTCTTCGACAATGCCCTTCATTCTCGCATCAGCACACATGCATCAGCACACACACACACCTTTGCACAAAATGTACAATAGAATGTGGCCTTTCTCATCTACCTAATCACAGTCTTCAACATATACATGTCCTACTTCAATAGAACAGTCTTGAATCAGTTAAAATTACAAAAAGTGTGAAAATCTAGTGTACTAGCATTAACATTGCTATGATCCAGATGACACACAGTACATTACTACAACTAAAAGAAAATATGAGGTCCACAAGCATGCTCTAAATTATCAGACTTGACACTTGCTGCAAGTTACAGAGCTATATTTAATTTGTAACAGTATATTAATAAACTCAAAAATTTCAGAGAACAGACGCCTTTGATCAACATATGCAAAAGACCCACAATATAGAGCACAAAGAAGAAAGTGGAAAAAATGAAGAAATGTGTATTTTACAACAGACATCAGGTGTCAATAGACTGTTTTGTTCCGTTAATACTATACAAAGCTGGTCTCGTAAAGTGCAAACCAGTATTTTCTAACCCACTTCTAACATAAAACTCTCACTGCAAGGATGTTGCAAAGTTTTTAAAGACAAGTAGATGAAAACAGCAATTAAAAATGTAAAAAAGAGGAAAACATTTCTAGAGAGCATATTTACTCCCAATGTACACATACGTTCAATGATGATATAAGTGGCAATAAAAGTTACAACACAAACTTGCATGGGGTGAAACAACAGTTTTCGCAGTGGACACAACATACATTTACTTTCATCAAACAAAAACATTTACTTGCCTTATATATACATCCATACAAACACTCACTTCACATTTGTATTTATATCACAACTCTTAAGTAGCAATGTGATGTCTGGCCTCTATGCAAAGGCCTCCGTTTTCACTTCACACTTTAGTATTTGGTACAAACGCACTCCTAGGGTATGAAAACCCACTTATATAGATGTCACTAAGTACTGCCAAAAATTGTCAATTCGACTAGGGTCACTTCTAACCTAAAGTCTTTACATTTTACAAGTTCAATTGATTAGAGCTATAATATTACATTTATTTCGCTGCCAATCAGTGAAGTCCTTCTATCACACATTCTTGCCTTCCATAACAATTGTGCAAAGCTTGCATGGAATTTGTCAAATGTTTTTGCACTTTCCTGATTTTCATTAAAATATTTCATCTTCTTTGAAAATCCGAAAGACAATTATTTCAAAACCATCTTCATAGTGAGGGCATGAATCTCCATTAAATGTTCAAATTCATATCATACAAAAACTATGAGATGACCTCTGTCAAGGTTTAACTTCCAGAGCGTTCTAAACACTTCTTGAGAAAAATACTGAAAGGTTTCTTGTGGCCTTCGCTTATGGCCGTGGACAAGGCTCTGAGCCATGTCCAGGGGCTGATGACTATCTGCGCATAGTACTGTTCAAAGGTTGCATTAGGCTGCCATTGATGTAGCCGTAAGTTGTATACATTGTATTCTGCTGTGCTCTTTGCAAAGCAGCTGGATCTTGATATTGTGTTTGCGCTGCCATATTCATCACACCCATTTGCATTGGTATTTGCGCTTGGTTGATGAACCCAGCAGCAGTATTTGTAATATAGCCTGTAACAGTTCCTGTTGCAGTCTGCTGAGCTGCCATTCGGTAACCATTTAAAGCGGTACCATACTGAGCAGCAGCAACCAAATTTGGGTTGATGGTGACATTGGGTGAAACTCTTGATGATGCTGCCGCCGCTGCCTGCATCTGCTAAACAAAACAAAGCATTTTAAGAATAAAATTAAATAGTTATTTCTATAAATTCTATAAATAAGAACTTTGTATGAAAACCAGCTCATTCCACCCCCATTCCAAAATTCACTTTTTTGCGTATTTTCTAAGTTTAGGGGATCCTTTGTATCCTCATGAAGGGATATTCCTTAAACCCAGCTTATTCCAAATTAAAAAATGGTGAGAACATTTTGTTCTCATCAAACCATACATTGATATATAATTTTTTCTTTTGTAAATTTTTCTCATATGAAATGACCTGGCATTGCAAACACCAAAAATGTACTCAAAAAGTGAAGGATGATGTCAATGAGAATAAAAGTTCTTAACAACAAAATCTTCTCTGACAATTACAAACATCTCCCTCATTCCTCAATGGCATACATCCTTCTATAAACATGCAGAACTGTTTTACAAGACGTCTACAAAACAGCAGGCAGAAGAACAAAACACTCAGTCTTTTAAATTACTTATTGTTAATAGCTTCATTATGCAAAAATATTCCAAACATTAATAAAAAGTTTACATCATTCCTCCATGAAAATTATAATATTGTCAATCACATTTTTGACCAATGTGGTTGATCTTCCAAATACAGCTCCATACAGTCAGTATTCAGCAAGTACTGAGCAACTGCTCACTGAATTCCGAGTAGTGCTGATGGGTTGCTGGCGTTAGTGAATAAATATTTTATTTGATGGGACTTTTTACTTTATCATATCGAAATAAAGGAGCTGAGAAATTCGTACGTCTTGCGAGACGTATGTTTTCTAGGGAACAAGTTATATAACTTCCTCAAAATTTTCCCTGATATATAATGATTCTTCCACACATCCCCCTATTTTTTCCCAAACTTTTCCAGAATAATGAAATTCCCCAGAAATTTCCATTTTCCAGAAAGCCGCCCTGTAGGAGGTTCTCAATTTTAATCCACCCTCATCATGCAGGTTTATCAAGGCCCACACATTTCTATAGCTATATCACAAAGAAAAAAGTTTTTAAATTTACGTTTACTTCTGTACCACTTCCATATCTATTTACTGCCACCAGGCAATTTCCCTTCTGTGATTCAGTCTGACGTTGCCTGTCGCCTTGCATTGGCGACCTTTGATGCCCTTCGATTGTACATAGGGTGAGGCATAAGAACTATGGGGTAGTGACAAACAACCATGTCACTCGCCCACCAATCAATTCCCCTACTCATTAAAATGTGGCATTTGTAAAGAAGAGCTCACCGTGACGCCGACGGGGGTGGGCCCGCTGTTGGCCGAGGCGCGCGACGCCGTGCGACTGGGCGTGGCGATGGAGGCGGGCGGCGGCGGCGCCACCGTGGTGGCCAGGTTGTTCACGTTCATGTTGGTCTGGTAGTACTTGTGGTAGTTGGCGAGCGTCATCTGCGTCATCTGCGTCTGCAGGTTGGCGGGGAGGGCGGGCGGCGTGGAGAGCGTGCGCGTGGCCGCGGCCGCCGCCGCCGCCGCCTGCTGCTGTGCCGTCCAGCAATCTGGGTGCGGGCGCCGCGGGGGCGCGGCGGCGGCGTTCGGGATCGTGCTCGTGCGGGTGTGCAGCGGCGGCGGCGTCCAGGTTCACGGCCGGCGGCGGCGTCATGTGTGTTTGCATGGGCGCCGGCGGCAGGATCTCCAGGCCGTTGGTGAGCTGCTTGCAGCTTGGCCAGGCCTGCAAACAGGAGGCGGGGCCCGCCCGCCCACCGCACGCCCTGCTGCTCTGCTTGCTTGCTGGGCCTGCTGCGGGGGCGGGCCGGGCGCGGCGCCGGGGCCGAGGGGCGCCGGGCCGGGGCCGGACTGCTCGCGGCGTGGGCGTGGGCGCCGGGGTGGGGTGGGCGCCGGCGTGGGCGTGGGACGGGGCCCGGCGTGTGCGAGTGCGGGTGGGGGCGACGCGCCGGTCTGGATGTAGAAGTTGGTGGCGAAGTTGTGGCGGTGGAGACGGCGCAAGGCGCCCGGGTGCAAGCGCCGCCGCGCGCCGCCGCCGCTGGCCGCGGGGCCGGCGCCAGGGCTTGGCGGCCGCCATGCGGTGCTGGGAATTTACGTCGTCATCGGCATGCTCACGAACGTGCTAGCACCCGGCTGCGCCGAGAACGCCTGCGACGACACCGCCATCTGCGGCACGCTGATGTAGTTGCCCTGCAACAACACGCTTCCGTCAGCCCCCACCCCTCTCCTAACAACCGTAGCGACGGCCCATGTGCTCCTCTTCCATTAGACCAATCCAGCGAAGCCAATCAGCATGCACTACGATTCACCCTTTCCAAATAACTGGTAGTTTTATCTCATTTAGCGGGGTCAGCATCAAGATACCAAACTGAAGGTTTTGAATGCAAGTGGTTCAGAGAACTACTTTCGGATTGGCTTTAGCGGCCGCAATGGGCGGGTTCTGGGGGGCCTTGTCCCCACTGAAAATTTTGAAGGGTGCTCCTTGGGGTCAGGTATTAAACATTTTATTTTCGTCAATATGGCCAATACACTATTTTCCCAATTTGGAAATTGTTGCATCATTAGGGTAAGAGGCTCGTCCCTAACTACCCTGTAACCGGTTCACAATAGAAATCAAACGTTATTACTAATTAAATCATTAAAGATCTAATTTCTGTACTTTGAAACGTTATTTATGTATTCATTGTTTAAAATATATCTATGTTGATTTAATCTACAGTTAAATGCAGTAAATGCATTACGAAAAACTTTTTTTAAAAAATAACAACAAAGACTATGGCAACTTTGTTTATTTCAACATTAATTCTCATATCATTAGGGAGAGGTGAATTAACAATATATCCGAATGTAGATTTTTTAATTTCACCTTCATTTAGGTACGGAGTTACCGTTTCATCATTGCGAATATATTAAAATTTTTCAGAACCTCAGAACCCTTAGCAGAAGTTTCGTCGAAAAAGTGTCGAACAAAACTTAACAGTGTTAGCAAAAATTCAAAACTGCTATCATACACGACAGATTTAGGGGAATGCTGGGTTCTTGTATTGAATTGAATTGAAGCCTTATTTTGCATGGCGAGCCTGGGACCATCAGGCCCGCTCTTCCGTCTGACCGTGCAAATTTCGCTACGCTCCTTTCGCCAACTAGCAGAGAAAGGAGGTATTTCTTGGGCAAGAAACAGGCAATTTCAATTTAGTTCAGAGGCGTCATTTAGGCTTGAGGATCTTTTACATGCAAGTAAATCTACTAACATGGGACAGACTTCACCTCCGAAGGATTTTTTTCGCCATAAAAATACACTTAGATCAGGTTTGAACCCGCCAACTTGGGTGTAACACTCCGATACGCTAACCTTTCAACCATCTCCGCCACTCAAAAGCCACTTGAACAGCCAGCATTGCGAATAAACACATTGCAATCTTATTTTAGAATCTGGAGACTTACATAAGTTCTGTAATTGGAGCAATACTGAGAATGTGGAATTAGCTTTGAAAAAAAATGTTCAAATTATTTATGACCTTGAGGTAATTCAAAAACTGAATATATTTTGACACAAACTTGCAGAAAATGATTTTAATTTATTGTTACATACATGAATTGATAGTTATTGTAGGATATATATTGTTGATAAATTTTCCTTACATTATTTTGCAATTTGTTCTGGAGCCCATAGTTGACCCTCTCCCTCCCAATTCATTTCCCCAGGTACCTGAAAGGCACTTAAGCACTTAAGAAAGAATTTAGACCTTAATTTAGAGCTGACCATTTGACAAATAAACAATGATAATAATACATTGAATTGAATTGATTTAATGCCTTATTTTACGTGGCGAGACTCGGGCCATCAGGCCCGCTCTTCACCAACTAGGAGAGAAAGGAGGTATTTCTTGGGCGAGAAACAGGCGATTTGAATTTAGCTCAGAGGCGTCATTTAGGCTTGAGGATCTTTTACATTCAAGTAAATCTACGAACATGGGACAGCCGGCTTTACTTCCCCTCCGAAGGAAGGCGTACGAAGGACTTTTTCGCCCTTACAAATCCACGGCTTCAATCGGGTTTGAACCCGCCAACTTGGGTACAACAGTCCGGTACGCTAACCGTTACACCATCGCCGCCGCCGCAATATATCATCCAAAACTTTCTCTAACATCTTAAATAAATTCTTGCAAATTAAGTTTCTGTTACAAATATAAAGCAATTACTAAAGGAGTAGGAAACAAAGCTTTTAAGCAACCTGGACAGTACTATGTGTTAAAGTAGCAATTAGTGTTCAAATGAAGACACTGTTCCCAAATATTCATTGAATCAAATTTGGGATTTTCTTATAGATTTCATACATTTTGGAAAAATTAGAGAAATATAGTTTTTGTATAGTTACAGCCAGCTGAGGAAGACAAAAGAAACAAAAAGGGCTTCACTGGTAGTCATACATTTGTCATTTTGTGCAATTATTTTACATTAAAGATGATCTATGTCACAGTGTGGTGTTCACAACTTCCCAGAACCTTTTGTTCCACTGACTCTCACCAATGCTTCATGCAACAGCTCTAGCAGTTCGTACATGCCAGCAAAAAACAATGCTGTCAGTGTTAATGAAAACAATTGGCAACTATAGCATTGTACACTGCATTTCTCTGCAGGAAAGGAAAATTGTCAATTAGCAGAGATATGTACATGTCTGTCAATGTACTAGTACGACTGTTTTACCTCGATGTCCAATTCGTTGACATGAATTCCATTCATCTCATCCAGTTCATCATGACATTTTCAATGTCACATGGCAGAGAAAGAACCTTCAGTCACTGTTAAAGAGTTTGACAAACATGGCAAGAAACCATTTACTTCATTTTGGGGCTGACTGAAAACTATGAAATGTGAAAATCAACACTTTTCATTCCAACAGATGCAAGCTGCCTTAATGTACACAATGGTGGAAAGAGGAAAGTTTAATTATGACTTTTCACAAAAGATCTAATTCCACGCACTTACACTTTTCCACTCTGAGACCACCCCAATCTGAATGAAAAATGTGGATTTTCACAGTTCGAGTATACAACACATAATTAAGATTTACAACAGAACTGGAAATAAATTCAGAACTATTAGAGACAACAGACAATTCAAGGACAAAAATAATTTGTGCAGAGAATAGAATACTGAAATGACAAGAAGGCTAGTATTATAAAATGCAAAATCTTCATTTCAAATGTTATAAAAAAATAATTAATAAGGATTAAAGAATATTATATGTTAATTATGACAGGAAAGTGTCCAACAAATTATTTTAAATCATTTTGTTATTTTGAAAAGGGCAATGATATCACATGTCAAAACTTCGTTGTATTAGCAGCATAGCAGAATGGTCTAGTGGTATACCGAAGAGCTTATACCACTGTATTCCTTGGTTATTAGATATTGGTCATTTGAAACAAAATAGTTTAACTATCAACATATTGTACTAACTACACGAGAGGATGTTTGTAAACTACATTTGGGTGGGACATTTAAACATTAACTAAATAATTCAATAATTTGTGAGGAAAATCATTCGGGATGGGGTATTTCGTATATACTCAAATAATCCTCGCATACTTTTTTCAAAAATTGATAACTAAGTGCGGGTATTATTCATGTCACGATTGATATTATACTTGTACGATTTCAAGAGCCATGGAATACCTACCCTCCCCCTCTCCGTAACTAATATTGGTTGAATTAAGAAAATATAATGGCAACAAGTATTAATGACAAAATCTCATCCAGAAATGTCACTTCCGTGTAATAGAAAACTATTTTGCATCGAAAAAAGAGCTATATTAGATATAAAAGTCCTGCCACTGAAATGCTGCACTGCAAAAACATTACCCTCCTCACACCACTAATTGTACTCAGATTTATGGATGGATTCCTGCAATCACCCATCATTACTCACATTAAAAGGTAAACAGAACCACTATCACAACAACCAGAATCTCAAATTATTTCAAGATAACATACGCATTATGAGTAATGGAACAGAAATTTTACAAAGTCCGTAATCCCACTACGGCTTTAACTAGAACTTCTGGTCAACCTCACACGCGTCACGTGACGCTCACTGCCATGCTGCGCCTTACCTGTGATATGACTGCCATGTTGTGATGTGTGTGGTGTGGATGCTGCACTGTTGAAGCTGCTGCTGCCGCCGCCGCTGCCAACTGGTGATGGGCATGGGGATGGTATCCCGTTGTAGCTGACACTGCGGCAGCAGTAGCAGCAGCAGTTCCCCCACCTCCACCACCGCCGCCACCACCACCACCACCACCAGCACCTTTCGGAAAATAAGGTCCTTTTCTAACTCAGAATGTAATCAGGTAATATTGTTCCTTGTTATAACACCACATGCTAATGTATGCTATTTACATTTGTCTTCATTTAAATATTTATTCTTTAAGTTAATTCATGTAACTAATGCAATGAAAGTAAAAAGCAAATTCACTCGTGTCAAATCCAAACAGATAAAAGAACACCCACTATTAGATTCTCTGCAAAAAACTGTCAATTTGCAAAATTTCACAACTCATTGAGATCGTGTTCATAAGTCACAGGCACTTGAAAGTCGGTAATTTTTTAGCAATAATGCAGCCGCACTCAGACAGTTGTCATGTGTGAGAAGGTATTTCTTTGTGCAAGCTTCATTGCAGATTTCACACGTCATGCTTATTGAAATACATTTTATTATATTCATAGACAATTAATTTTTAATAATAATAAAATAATGTTCCTTTAATTACATTTAAATTTTTTAATGTAATTGAAAATACCTAAGGTCTGAACACAGTTTGAGGATTGTCCAGTTAATCCAGAAACCAAGTTCATACCTTATTTAGAACCATTTCTGCATAAAATTTGCTTTTTTAAGGGGCTGTGTCTTATAAATGCGATCTCTAGAGTTGAAAATTTTTGGAAAACAACCTTTTTTCGAAGAGATGCAATAGTGTGTCCTGTTTTATTTATTTATTTACTTAATTTGACACTGGTGAACTTTTGTTTGTAAGATTGTGAAAGGTAATTGAAGTGACAAGTTTATAAGCTCCCTGAAACAGACTTAATGTTTAAACCACAAATTTATCATTCTGATGAGAATACAAATAATTGATATTCTAAGTCTTGCATCATCCACAAGCTTCAGCAAATCAAATGGGCAACATTTAAAGATAGATTCTATAGTACCACAAGCTTTTAGTGTAGCACTAATGTTAATGTATATATAAATTACACTTTTACAGAAACCAAGTAACAAGAAATGATTGTCATGCGAGTCCTATTCCTTTCAGGTACTCACAAAAAAAAAGGGGGGGGGGGGGCATTCGAGTATCAGTAATTTTAAATGGATCAGTGGGATAATTATTCAGAATTAATCTTAATAAAAATCGTTCTAAATATTTTTGAAGCTATAAATCATAATGAAGAATTAGTATATCATAAACAAGAGATGTATTCACAAAAATTTTCAATTTTTTGTACCAAAAACAGATATGCTAAAGACACCCAAAAAACGCATCAGCCCCCCCCCCTCCCAAACTTGTTAAGAGAAAAAACTTCTGCAAATACAAATCAGAGAAAGGAAATCTTAAAAAAGAAGTATTATTGAAATTCTGACCTAAAAAAAAAAACAAAATGCAGTGCATTTCATAAAATTACTGCATTTCATGAAATTACTGCTTGGCAATATGAGTCTGTAATTGCTAAAAACATTTTTAACCAAATAATAGTAATGTAAACAAAACAGGAATTGTTCCTCCAACAAATGTATTTCAACTCGGAATGATGCAAGGCTTAGGACCCTATTGTTCCTTTTTAACTCTTACTGAAATATATTTACAGAGTAAATTATTTTGAATAGGCTGGAACAGAAAATTATTTTATTTGTTAATTCTAAAAAGTATGAAACAATATATGGAAAAAATATTTACATTTGCTGTGCACTGAATTAATAACACAAGTTGTGTACATCAGTATCAGGATATTACAGAAGTTCAAATCTCATCCCAAGGAGTTTAAAGTTACACCAATGTGGCCACGAACAATTCATTGATACCAATTCATGGACAAGATGGAACCACAAATTTAAAAATATTAGGAACGTAAATTTTAAATTGTAATCCACCAAAACTGTTTTACATACTAAAATTAAAATTTGCAATATCTTGAAAACTCAATTCACAACTTGTATTAACATTTGTCCTAATAAGTGAATTTATTTCAAGCTTCAATAATGGACCACTTTGAAACTCTGTGCGTGAGTGTAAAGAATTTTTGATTTGAGAGTAAAGAAAATCAGTTGGAAACTATACACAAAACTTTACAAAAGAACAATTTAGTAATATTACATCACTTCCACCTTTTCCTCAAGCAAGAGCATTAGACAAAACTCAAGAAATTTAAATCCTGTTTACAATTTCAAAATTGAAATTCAAGTTTACTTTCAAACAAAAAATATCATAAACAAGACCAGTTTACACAGTAATAGCAATCCTTGGAATTGACCAATGTAATTCTACAGTGAATAAAAAAAAAGTTGTTTACAATCCATACTTTTAATAAAATCACAACAAAGAAGTATGTTACACTTATTTCAAGGAAAAATTCCTTGCTTTGATGAAAAAATCTGTATTACTACTTTTCCCTTATTCACAGAAATTGAAAGTAAACTGCAGCCACCAGCCATCTGAAATGAGCCTATGGTTTGGTTAATACATCCAGGATCACAAGAAAAATACAAAAACTATAAAACGGTTTGGATTTTGATTTAAAAATGCAAATATTCGATTGTGTTATTCCACCTATTCTCAAACTGTAATACTAACAGAATTCACATGCCATGTACCATTGCTTACAAAACAGATGTCGTCACATAACAGCAAGGCTCACTGACCATTAAATATTTGCTATTTATGTGTTCCATTTCGGAACAACCTTTGGTTTTCTTAGTATGTAAAGAAATGTTCATAAGTATATATAGTAATACTATGTTTTTGTAGTATTTGTGAGGCTTGTGGCTGTTAAAATATTCAATTCATTGCAATGTTATAAGAGTATTTTATTTGTTGTTCTTACGCAGTGTGTGGGTGCTGGAAAAAGGATTCGCATTTTTATTGCTGCAGGCCACTAGTTATATTTAATATTTAATTGTCTTAATACATATTTTGACTATTCAAGTGTTTTTTTTAGCACCTTACGGCAGCAAACGACAATCCTCCTATGAATGAAAAATTAATGAACAAAGCATTATTGTTTCCAGTTGTTGTTGTTTTTTTTTTTGTTTTTTTTTTTTTTCTTTTCATGTAAATATTGAACAATTCCTCTAAAAATACTTAAAAAACTCAAAAGCAAGTTCAGGGTTTATTTGTTACCAAATGTGGAACATTACTTGTGACTTGTGACTTGTGGCTTGCATTTCTCTTACAATAGCTTCATCAGAGTTGGAAGAAACATTCATTCTGCTGCAATGAGAATTTGATCTCTACAAATATTTTTTTCCATTTTCAAGTATTATAATACAATTGCCCCATTGAAACGAATTCTCGTTGCAAAATGGATTATTACACGTTACACGATGTTTAATATGTATATTATAACACCACCTTGATCAAAAAGTTTCCAGAAAGACCACCGTGTGGATCTCCGTCAGTTGATTACAGATCTCGACATTTCTACCATATTTCAGTGTCATAGTATGGCATTTATAAATGTTACAATGT